ATGTAAATGTTAAATAACATCGGGGACAGGATGGCGCCCTGAGGAACACCACAATTAAGAAGAGCAACTGTTTTAGAAGAGCAACTGTCCCCGAGCCTCACCCTCTGGGATCTGCCCGAAAGGAAGGAACGGAACCACTGCAGAGCAGTGCCTCCAATTCTTAACTCTCTCAGGCGATCCAAGAGGATGGCATGATCTATTGTGTCGAAGGCCACTGAGAGATCCAAGAGCACCAACAGGGTTACACTACCCCTGTCGATGCCCAGGCAGAGGTCATCAGTCAGAGCAACCATGGCTGCCTAAACTCCATATCCTGTCCTGAAGCCAGTTTGAAATGGATCAAGATAATCGGTTTCATCCAAGACTGCCTGGAGTTGGGAAGCAACTGACCTCTCAATCACCTTGCTCAAAAAAGGGAGCAAGGAAACTGGTCTGTAGTTGTTTCTATCCAGGGGGTCCCTAACTGCCGCCTCCTTTAAAGAAGATGGTACGTTACCTTCCCTGAATGATGCATTGATTGTGTCCCGAAGGAACACCTTCAAGGTGTCCCCCCCCCCGGACGACCAGCCACGATGGACATGGATTGAGGGGGCAAGTCATCTTCCTCACCCTTCCAAGAAGCTTGTCCATGTCATTGGTACTCACAGATTCTATGCCAAATGAAAAAGAACCACATGAGTGGAGAGGTTCCTCTCAGTTTCTATCCAATGTGAGACAGTGTGGTACAGTGGTTGGAATTCTGAACACCATTCTCATGGTGTAATTCTTGGTGTAATTTGGAGACTCAGTTTCTATGCCACAAGGTCATGAAAGTCACTGTATGTCATTGGATTCAGCCTGATGTTGTTGTGGTGGTGGTAGTGGTGGTGGTGGTGGTGGTGGTGAGTTTTTGATTCATTATGATTACCATGAGGCAAGCCTATCACAGGGTTTTCTTGCCAAGATTTGTTCAGATGGAGTTTGCCAGTGCTTCCCTCTGAGGCTGACAGAGTGTGAGCTGTCTAAGGTCATCCGATGGGTTTCAATGGCCAAATGGGGAAACAAATCCTAACCTCCAGAATCATTATCCTATGCTCAGGTCACTACACCACACTGGCTTTCAGCTTGATTTACCTCACAGGATTGTTGTGAAGATAAATCGGGAGGAGGAGATGTATGTACATAATCTTGAACTCACTGAAGGAAAAGTAGCATACAAATATAGCTAACAGATAATATTAAAATAAATATTTGCCCTCCACTATTATAATAATGACAGTAATGGAAAGGGTGGAACTAATATGTTCATTTTTATTCTCCTTCATGTAAGTCTAATTGGGTGAGGGAATTAGTGCCTCAATCAGATTTCAGTCAATTGCATTTGAGCCTGACCTAACTGAATGCTCCACTGAAGGCCGAAGTATCAGTGCAAATGGACATAGCAGGTGGAAAGTAACAATACAACAACTGTAGTAGAAAAGAGAGAATATAAGTGAACAGGACATATTGTGGACTTGATTCTATTGAGTAAATTTTCTAAGAGAGCACATATCTGAATTCAACAAAGAAACTTTCTATCTCTTTTTTGCCCTCAAACACTTTCTTTTTGAGCTACTAAAAATACACAGAATTCTCTACTGATTTCCAGGTTACTTGATTTTATAATTTGGGAAGATGAGGAAACAGGCATTAGAATCAGAGGCAGCTGGTTGAAACAGGTGTTACAGAAAATTATAATCCTGCTTTGATTAATCTTGTTGGGCATGTGTGTGTGTGTGTGTGTGTGTGTTAACAATTACCCTCTGGTTTTGCATGACAGGTATCCAAATAATCAAATGTATAGGCTTGATGGCGACAAACCAAATTATTGTCAGGAGAAACATCAAGCATGATTGAACTATGTGAGCCAACATCATTTGCTGTTGATGGAGATAGGTTTTTCTAATGCTCTCCAAAGTACAAACAGTTTGTGGGTGTGAAAATAAGTATATTTCTAGAAAGAGTATAAGCAAATATGTACACATTTACCAGGAACCTTAGTTAATACTGCAATAATAAGTCACAGTTTCTGTACATGAATTTACAATTGTATTAATAGTAAGAAACTTGTCCAGATTAATAAATAAATTATCAAATACTGTTCCAAGCCAATCTGATCAAATTTTCCATTTCATGGTGTAATTAGAAGTATGGGGAGGGGGGAAGGTCTGTTGAATTGCTCTTGAAAAGATTATTGAAGATCACTTGGGGAAAGGTGTAAATATTGACACAGTACAGTTTCTTTTTTTCTTTTTTA